TCATAAAGTTTAAAAGCGGCAGAGCTGAGGCTTTAAAAATCAACTTCCACCTCTTGGGATAAAACCCAGACTCCTATGTGCCTGCCTGGCTTTGCCTCCATCCCCTGGACAGTGCTTGGCCCCTAGGATGTTTTCAGTATATGTTTACTAGATGAAAAAGTGAATGAGAACAACAATAAAACAACCAACAACAAAAGAATGAATGAGCTAAGATCACTCCGGCCCAGTAAGTCAGGCTTTCTTTCTGGAGTCTGTGTGAAGACTTGGAAATGCAAACTTACTGCCCTGGGAGCTTACCCTCTCCAGCGGCCCCTCTCCAGCTTTATCTCAGCCTTCCAGTTCACTTGTCCAAGCCCCCTTATTGAGTGTCGCCATGCCCACACAGTGCCACTGCCCCCATGCCTTGGGGGCGCCTTTCTTGGCTTCTTCAAACCTTCAGCTTAGCACTGAGTCCCCCTAGCGACCAGACAGAGGCCAAGACAGTGGCTTTGGCAGATGTGCCAGGTGTGCGAGGGTGTGCAGTGGAGTGAGAATGGTAGGTCAGGACTAGGCCAGCCACGTGGCATACTTCCAAAAGTCATAACTTCTTGATTTGGTGCCCTCTTTCTCCCATGTCACTCTGTTGCTCCTCTACACATAATGAACTGTCACCTGTCCTCTTCTAGAATTGACCTCATAGTTTAAAAAAAGCAAAACCCCGAGACGTGTGTTTTCCTTTCATTTCCAGCTGTAACGAAAGAGAAAGATTGTGTTTTGAAAAACTACATTACTGTCTTGCTAACCAGGGTGTTAGGTAAGGAAAAGAAATACAGGGGATTTTAACTGGGAAGGAGAACTTCATATTGTTTCTGTTTGTGGATGACATGATCTTATACTTAGAAACAGGTAAAGTCTGCATCAAAAACTGTTAGAATTCATAAATGATTTTAACAAAGTTGCAGTATACACAGTTGACTTACAAAAATCAGTTACATTTTTGGGACCAGCAGATGGAGTAATAGTTATGTCATTGAACTCCCACGTAGTCAACCATGGTTCCAGTCTCAGATCTGATGGCTTAAAACACACTGGGTGGGGAACCAGCAGTTAGCGTAATGGCTATGTCGCTGGACTCCCACATAGTCGACTGCGGTTCGCGTTCCGGACCCGGTGGCTTAGAACTCAGGCCGGGCGCATGTGCATGCGTGCCCAAGATCCTGAGAGGAG